CGACGACGACGACGACGACGACGACGACGACGACGACGACTACTACTACTGCTACTACTACCAATTCGACTACTACTACTACTACTACTACTACTACTTCTACTACTACTACTACCACTACTGCTACTGCTACTACTACTACTACTACTACTACTACTACTGCTACTACTACTACTACGACGACTATGGCGACTACTACTACTACTACTACTACTACTACTACTACTACTACTCCACTACCACTACTACGACTTCTTCCTCTACTACTACTACTACTACTACTACTACTACTACTACTACTACTATTACTACTACTACTACTACTTCTACTTCTACTGCTGCTACTACTACTACTACCACCACCTCCTACTACTACTACTACTACTACTACTACTACTACTACTACTACTGCTACTACTACTACTACTACTACTACTACTGCTGCTGCTGCTGCTGCTGTTGCTGCTGCTGCTAGTGCTACTGCTTGTGCTAGAACTGCTACTACCACTACTACTACTACTACTACTACTACTACCACCACTACTATTACTACTACTACTACTACTACTATTACTACGGCTACTTCTTCTATTACCATTACTACAAATCGGACGGCTACTACTACGACTACTACTTCTACCACTAGTAGTAGTATTTTTATTACTACTACTACTACTACTACTACTACTACCACTACTGCTACTGCTACTGCTACTACTACTACTACTACTACTACTACTACTACTACTACTACTACTTACTAGTAACTAGTACTAGCTAATACTAACTACTACTACTACTACTACTGCTACTACTGCTACTACTACTACTGCTGCTGCTGCTGCTGCTGCTGCTGCTGCTGCTGCTGCTTCTGCTGCTGCTGCTGCTGCTGCTGCTGCATGCTTCTATTACTACTACTACTACCTCTACTATTACTACTACTACTACTACGACGACGACGACGACGACGACGACGACGACGACGACGACGACGACGACGACGACGACGACGACGACGACGACGACGACGACGACGACGGCGACCACGACGACGACGACGACGACGACGACGACGACGACGACTACTATGAGTTCCGCGGGCTCTCGGTCTCTCTGCTGGGCAGGCTTCCCCGCGCCAGGCCGAGTGCCGCAGGGACCGTGCGAGACGCGGCCGGGATGCACCCCAGAAAATTCCGCATCCCTCTCGACGGCGGCGGCGGCGCCGCCGCCGCCGCCGCCGTCGTCGTCGTGAGGGTCCTTGAGGGAGTCTTTAGATTTCGCCAGGGGTCGTGAGTGTCCTTGAGGGAGTCTTGAGCTTTCGCCAGACGTCGTAAGGGTCCCTGAGGGTGTCTCAGCTGCACACGGGGCCGGAGAAGGGGGGTAGCGCACGGGGAGCGTTTTCTGTGGAGGGAACAGCACTGATGAAGGTGCACACGGGGCCGGAGTGTACGTTTGCCCACCGCGGCGCGACACCGCCGTTGGTGGCCTCTCGCATGGCTGGAGAAGTTGTCGTCACACAGCGTCTCAGGACGGGGCCAGAGTGTGCGCCCGTCCACCAGGGGAGTGACACTGGAGGCTCCGGCCCTGCCCAGGGCTGGAGTGTACGCCTTTCCGTTGTTGTTGAACATTATTACTTCTAAAGAATAATTATTGTTGGGACCCCTGGTGCACGGCCCCCTCGCCGCGCCTAGGCCGCAGCCATGTTTTCATCATTTTCGTGAGGAAGTCTCCGGCAAAACGGGTTGGTCCGGATCCGGTTGTTTTGTTACGGGCGGTTTTCCCTTGCAAAAAATAAGGCAAAGTGGACATTTCTTGTTCTAACATAACCAAACTTCAAGAATCCCTTGCAAAAAATAAGGTAAAGTGGACATTCGCGCGCGCAAGACGAAATCCTTCCAAAACCTTAGTGTTCGTAGCGATTTTAACATAAAAACATCAAAAAACCAATGGTTTTTCAAAAAAAAAATGTCAAAATTTCATCCCGCGCGCTCTTGCGGATTTGTAGGAAACCCAACACTTTTTAAACATTTCTGTCAAACGGGCTTTTGCGAGCAACTTTTTCACGTGCTTCGAACTTCTCCAACAACGGTTGCGCACCTGCCAGGGCCATCATCCCTGTCAAATAATACCATGCGGGACACATTCGTTTTTTCTTCGCGCGCGCACGCCGAAATCTTCAAAAACCATTGGGTTTCTTAGGAATTTTAGCACCGCGCAACATAAAATCATACGAATCGCACCGTAGGTCCTCGAAAAACCATTGGGTTTGTTAGGAATTTTATCGCATTAACCACAACAAGTCACTGTACCCATGCGCCAGTGTAGTAGCCACGGTCGTCCGCAGGCCACGAAGTGAAGTGTCCGAACGTCATAGGGCGGGAAGCTGGGTGTGGGTGGTGGCGAAGAGTCGTTTGGAAATGTGGTAGAGCTTGAACCGGCCCCCCCACAAAGTGGGGGTATTGGCGGGCGTCGTATGAAAACCCTGGCACTGGTGAGAACGGAGTGTCCCCACGTGCTAGTAATTGTTGTTGTTGTTGTTGTTGTTGTTGTTGTTGTTGTTGTTGTTGCTGTTGTTGTTGTCGTCGCTGTTGATGTTTATTGTTGTTTGTTCGTCGTTGTATTGGTTGTTTTGTTTCTGTTGTTGTGGTTGTTGTTGTTGCTGCAGTCATTATGCTACTTTCGTGCTCGTTGTTGTCTGGTTAATACTTTCTGCTTCTAGCTATTTGATTGGCTTGTGCTGTTCGGTTGCTCGTATTGCTAAGGCCTCACGGCCAGTGCCGCCGACCCTGGAGGCCTCGGCGCCCTCGACGGAAAAGGGAGGGGGAGGGCGGGCCAAGGGCCCCGGGAGGGTGGTATTCTGATCCGGGACCACCCCCCGGGACCACCCCCGGGCCCCCCCGGCCCCCCCCCCCGTGGGACCTTCCCCCCCCGCGGGAAAGGGATCAAAGGGAAAAGGACTTCCCTTCGAACCGATGATAACGTTGCTTGATTTCGCCGTGGATGGGCTGGTGTATTTCGCTTTGGCTTGCGCGATTGAGGACGAGGGTTCAGAGACACAGGGGGAGAGGCGACGGACGCAGGGGAGGCGAGGACGTGATGGCGGCGGCGACACGACGGCGGCAGTGACGGCGAGGGGCGACGGAACAGCCTTTGTCACATGCCGACAGGCTCGGCGGATGGTTGTTGTTGTTGTTGTTGTTGTTGTTGTTGTTGTTGTTGTTGTTGTTGCTGTTGCTGTTGCTGTTGCTGTTGCTGTTGCTGTTGCTGTTGCTGTTGCTGTTGTTGTTGCTGTTGCTGCTGATGTTGCTGATGCTGTTGCTGTTGTTGTCATTGTTGTTGCTGTTGTTGCTGTTGTTGTTGTTGTTGTTGGTGGTGGTGGTGGTTTGTGCTGTTGTTGTCGTCGTCTTCGTCAGTTTGGTGTTTTCGTGTTTGTTGTTGTCTGGTTGATATTCCCTGCTCCTAACTATCTGATGGGTTCGTTTTGTTTGGTTGTTCGCATTTTGTTTTTTTGTTGGGGGGCGGACACGCCGCGGCTCCTCACAGAACGGGCGTCGCCGGAGGCCAGCATGCGGTGGCTCCACGTCCACGGCGAGGGCCTGGAGGGCGCCCAGCGGGTGGCGCCCGCCGTGTGGCTGGGCGGCGACCCCGCGGAGATCGCGGCGCGCGCCGGGGAGGACCTGTCCGGCGTGCGCTGCCTGCTGGGGTGCGTCGGCACGAAAGTCAAGTTTGGCGTGTCCGTTTGCAGAAGGAGTATTCAAACATAGTCAATCACCACCCACCAAACCACCCCAACCCAACCCGAAGGCTCAGATTTACCCTCGATTTCCCGTGGGGGGGGGGTCGGGAAACATCGAGAAAACACATATGGAACCCGTACCCCCCCCAACCCGAAATTCGGGTCGTCGGGTTGGGTTGGGGTGGTCTGGTAGGTAGTCAGTCAAGACAAAACGGGGACTTCATTTTATGACTATGTCAGACTGTTCCCAACCAGCCTGTGTTGTTGGGTCCTCGTTTTGAAGAGACGGTGGCCCGCGTCTCCTCTCCTCCTCTCCTCCTCCGCCTCCTCTCCCCTCCTATCATCCTCTCCTCCTCTCCTCTTCACCCACCCAGTACACCGTTTCGTGGCTCCATAGGGAGCTCCACCGAAGGCCCCAGTGCCCGCGCCCGCATGCGTCACCCACACCCATTTCGGCACACCCCTCACACGTTCGTGGCTCCATAGGGAGCTCCACCGAAGGCCCCAGTGTCCACAAGCGTCACCCACCCCACCCATTTCGGCACACCCCTCACACGTTTCGTGGCTCCATAGGGAGCTCCATTCAGCGTGCCGCACATGCGTTCACCCACGGCACCCCCTCACACAGGGAGCTCCACCGAAGGCCCCAGTGCCCGCGCCCGCATGCGTCACCCACACCCATTTCGGCACACCCCTCACACGTTTCGTGGCTCCATAGGGAGCTCCACCGAAGGCCCCAGTGCCCGCGCCCGCATGCGTCACCCACACCCATTTCGGCACACCCCTCACACGTTTCGTGGCTCCATAGGGAGCTCCACCGAAGGCCCCAGTGCCCGCGCCCGCATGCGTCACCCACACCCATTTCGGCACACCCCTCACACGTTTCGTGGCTCCATAGGGAGCTCCACCGAAGGCCCCAGTGCCCGCGCCCGCATGCGTCACCCACACCCATTTCGGCACACCCCTCACACGTTTCGTGGCTCCATAGGGAGCTCCACCGAAGGCCCCAGTGCCCGCGCCCGCATGCGTCACCCACACCCATTTCGGCACACCCCTCACACGTTTCGTGGCTCCATATAGGGAACTCCACCGAAGGCCCCAGTGCCCGCGCCCGCATGCGTCACCCACATCCAAGTCGGCACACCCCTCACACGTTTCGTGGCCCCATAGGAGCTCCGCCGAAGGCCCCAGTGCTGCCGCCCGCACGCGTCAGCCACACCCATTTCGGCACACCCCTCACACGTTTCGTGGCTGCATAGGGAGCTCCACCGAAGGCCCCAGTGCCCGCGCCCGCATGCGTCACCCACACCCATTTCGGCACACCCCTCACACGTTTCGTGGCTCCATAGGGAGCTCCACCGAAGGCCCCAGTGCCCGCGCCCGCATGCGTCACCCACACCCATTTCGGCACACCCCTCACACGTTTCGTGGCCCCATAGGGAGCTCCACCGAAGGCCCCAGTGGCGGCGCTCACATGCGCATGCGTCCCGCACACCCATTTCGGCACATCCCTGACAGGTTTCGTGGCCCCATCATCCACCGGAGGCCCCAGTGGCGGCGCTCACATGCGTCACCCACCCACCCAATTCGGCACACCCCTCACACGTTTCGTGGCCCCATAGGGAGCTCCACCGAAGGCCCCAGCTCACATGCGCGGCACAGGCCCCAGGGAGCTCCACCGAAGGCCCCAGCGGCCGCGCTCACATGCGTCCCCGCCACCCATCCCGGCACGCCCCTCACAACAACAGGTTTCGTGGCCCCATGGGGAGCTCCACCGAAGGCCCCAGTGCTGCCGCCCGCATGCGTCACCACCCGCACCCAATTCGGCACACCCCTCACACGTTTCGTAATCCTATGGGGAGTTCCATTGAAGATGAAACCCGCAGCTGCGGTATTGACAACTGCATATGGTTGGGTTCTTCGCCAGGCTAATTTTTGTTTTTGAACTGCACAAAATCGCCAAAACGACGCCTGTAGGAGGACATGCCCGACCTAACTAAAAGACGGGCCCGAAGAAGGAATAACGCCATAAACATAAACTTGTGGCGCTTTGCGTGGATTGCCTGGATCCGCGCCCGGACCTCCTGTCGCCTCCTCCGGCGCACGGCACGAACGACAGAAATACAGCGAAGGCCCATGCCAAGAACCACCCTGCTTGCCTCCAGGGTGCCCCGGGTTTCTTGGGTTTCGATGGCTTTGCGATGGGAACCGTGGCGTTCCCACGCCGAAAATCAAGGGACGCCCTGGGGTCTCAGGGTTGGGTTTCTTGGGGATGGTTTCTTGTGGCCGGGCCCCCTGTACGGCCACGACTCGAAGAAGAGAAACAAAAACGCCATAAGCATAAATTTTTAGCGCTCCGCGCTGATTTCCTGGATCTGCGCCGGTTGACCCCCTGCGGCGCCTCCGGCGCCGCCCCAGGCGCGCTCCGCGCGCCAGGGAGGGGGGTCCAGCGCAGATCCAAGAAATTACCGCGGACCTCGGAAAGTTTATGTTATGGCATTTTTTCTTCTTCCACAAACGACAGATGTACAGCCAAGACGCTTAGATCAGGATCGCTTTGGGTTCGGAAGGGCATCGCTGTTCCTTGGCCATTCCGTGGTTGCTCTTCCAGCCCTCCTCGTGCACCCTGGCTCATTCTGGTACCAAGCAAGACAGAGCTTCGTTCCCAAATTACCCATTTAGGACGGGGTGGGCACGAAGACCGACAGCAGTTCCAGGTCATTTTGAGCAGGACTCGCTGTCGGTGTCGCCACAGACATGTCCATTTGAGACAGACAACCGCCTGGCCAACTGCGGCCGCTGTCGATTTTGGACAACATTTGTTGTTTGGCATTGTACCCATTCTATCCGCACCCATTACTGGGGGAGCGGAAAATTACATACATATTAACAAAAACTCGGATGTCCGCGCGGATTTCTCGGATCGGCGCTGGACCCTCCTGGCGGTGCCTCCGGCGCCGCCCCTGGCGCGGTCCGCGCGCCAGGGAGGGAGGTCCAGCGCCGATCCGAGAAATCCGCGCAGACCTCGGAGCTTTTATGTTTAAGTCATTGTTCTCTCCCCTAATTACGGGCGACCAAGAGGGGTGTGTTCAGGGGCAACGGCCCTTTGAGCGCCGACATGGGTCTGACAGTCCACCCCCCCCGGGAACGTCCGGTTTTCGCTATCGGGGGCCTATTGCTGCTCTATCGGCGATGATTCTCAGGAGGGAAAAAACACAGACACAAAGCGTCGATCCCCAGGGAAACATGGAAAATATTGGAAGTGGGGGGGGTGGGAAGACGAAAACCCAGAAAAGATTGGAAATCACGGGGGATCCTGGGAGTTGAGCCTATTGCTTTGTGTATCCCTGGGCCCCATCAGCGTCGCCGACTTCAGGCCGCTGTTCCCCCCCCCAGAGCCTATCCCTCCCCTGTCGCTGAACGCCAGGTGCGCGTCTTGGGCCCCCGTGCAGCTGGCCGTCGAGCTGGAGCGCGGCGTGTGGGCTCCCCCGGGGAGCGGGAGGCGGCTGGCCGGAGCGGAGCGTGAAGGGCATGCTCGGTTTCGGGGAGTGCGCAGTGGAGACCCATGCCAGGAAAACACCGTGCTTGCCTCCAGGGTGCCCTGGGTCTCGTGGGTTTCGAGAGCCTTGCGTTTTGGAGAGCGTGGCGTTCCCGCACCAAAAATCCATGGACGTCCTGGGGTCTCCGGGTTGGGTTTCTGGTCAAAGGTCTCTTGTGGTCGGGCCCCCACTGTACCTGCTGCTCCTGGCTTTGCCTGCACGTTCTTGTGCAGCCGGGAGGAGGGTACGCTATGGAGTGCCCTTCGGCTTGCCAGTTTTGGTCGTCCGTTCCGGTGAGGCTGGGGTACCAGGCCATGCATTTCCGTGTTCCCCATGGCCTCTTCTCAGGATGGAAAAAAACACACAAACACGATTAAGCGTCGATTCCTAGGAAAATGCAGGAACATATGGGAAGTGGGGGGAATACGAAAGCCCAGAAGCTATCAGGAACATGTGGGGAATCCTCGGATCCGTGTCTGTTTATCTGTGTGTCCCTGGGCCCCTTTGATCTTCGCTATGCCAGGCAGTTGTGGCCAGGTGGCTCCTCGGGCGGGAGCCTCTCGGTGACCTCATACAGTTTTTTGGGTATGTTTCCGGCGGAGGGCTCGTGTTCTTGGATAGCATGTCCTTATGCCCTTGTTCCGACGGTACAGTGGGGGCGCCCATCAAGACACCATCCATCTGAGTTTCGTCAAAGTACCCTGGGTTTCTTCTCTTCTCAGGCTGCGCGGTGATTTCCCGCAGCCGTTGAAGGAGCTGCTGCGTTCAGGGTGCTGCAGGTTTCCCCTCAGGTGCGCCTCGCGCACAGGTTCTCAGGGTTGGGTTTCTTGCGAGGGTTTCTTGCGGCCGCGCCCACACTGTACAAAGGGTGGATTTGCGCGGAGGCCCCGCGCGGGACGTATCCACGGGGTCACGCATCCACGGGTTATCACCTTCCTGGGGCCCACCAAACAGATCTGTTCGTGTCTAGCTTGACACCAGTTCGACTCAAGGTCGACTCAATTTCGGCCAAGTTCGATCCAGCTTCGACTCACGTTCGACTCGGGGTCGACTCACATCGACGGACGTTCGACGCAGTTTCGACGCAAGAGTGGAGCGAGTGTCTCCAGGAAGGTCCTCAGAATGAGCATCCAACATGGGCTCGCGCATCCATGGGATCCCGCCTCGGTGTCCGGACTGCGTTCGGGTTTGGATGCGGGCACGTTCGTCGCTCAAGAGGTTCGCGCGCGGTGGCTCGGCGGCGGCGCGGGCGACGCAGAGGGGGAACCGCGCAGCATCTGCTTCGGCCCCGCGGCGCGCGACGCCGCGTGGAGGTCCGCGCTGCGGGCCGCTGGCGCCGAGGTCCGCGTCCGACATTTGTCGGGATCCCGCAGAGGGGGGCTGTGCCTTGGGGTGTGTGAGTGAACTCGATCGGCTTCTGCACCGAACCGCCCAATAGAGATGCCCCCCAGCCGCAGGCAGTTCCCCACTGTTGCCGACAGGTGGGGCATGTGGGGGGCACCTGTTTGCGGCAGTTCGGTGCACCAGCGGATCGAACTCATGCCCCCCCCTCGTGGTCATTCCCCCTCTGGTAGGTCCCGAAGATGACCCACACACCCATGTCGCCACGCGTTTCTCGGTTGAACTTGGGGCACGTCGTGGGTGGGGTTTTGTGTGGGCTCGCGCCGCCCTGGCGCGGCGTCGACCCCAGCGCGGACGTTCGGCGCTGACTTCCACGCCACGGCAGGACCTTGCTGGATACTAGGTCCACCGTGCCCCGGGACGCGAAGTGGAGTGACCTCAGGTGCCTCAGAGTCCTCTGCATCGAGTGCGCGAGTTGGAAGATTCCTGGTCACACTCGAGTGCCTTAGAGCCTTGGAAGATTCTTGGTGGCACCCGACCGCAAATTGCCCGAGTTCACGTGGTTCCTCACGTGACTCCCAGGGTGCCTCGCGTGACTCCTGGGGCTTGCCGCAAGACTTGTGCCGAGGCCAGGAAGCCCCGAGGCGGCCCAGAAAGGTCACCAGAGGGCCCCTGGACGGTCCAAGGAGGCTCCGAGGCAGCCCACGACAGCCTGCCCACGAGATCGCCCCCAGGACCCAAGACGGCCCACGAGGCCACAAGATGCCCCCAAGACGGCCCAGATGTCTTGAGGCCCTCTTGGGGAGCCTCTTGGAACCCCGTTGAAACGACTGTGGGACCCTGGGCCGTCTTGATGTCATCCGACTCAGGGCCCTCTTGGATCGTCCTGGGGACCTCGGAGCACGCCCTGGTGCTACGCGGGGGCTCTCGGGCCAGTGAGACAGCCACGCGGTGGCAAGACACGCCCGAACGCGCCCCCGAGAACGATCAAGAATTCTGGAGCCCCGAGGCCTGGGGCCCCCAACTCTTCGACGCAAGGGGCACCCTCCCTCACAGTTCAAAGCAGCGGACTCCGAGGGACCCGAGGAGACACGTGGCCACGTGTCAGGCCGCGGCGGCGGTGTTCGCACCCTTGCAAGGCTCGGTGAGCCCCAGGACGCGTCTCAGCCCAATGTTAAGTCGGGCCTGTGCCTCTACAGGGGGAGTATTCAAAAATAGTAAGAAATAGTCCAGGGATTATTTTTGGAGTATTTTTTTAAACCATTTTGGAGTATTGTTTGAGTATGTTTTATTTGTCGACGAAAATCCCCCTGTAGGGGGACACGCCCGACTTAGGCCTACTGCGTGCTTACCTTGCTCTGCTCCACGGACAACACGCAGCTCGCGTCGGCCTCATTGCACCGCCCGCGTCGACCTGAAGGCGGTGGGACCTCTCAGAAGCCCTCGCGCTTTCTGAGAGGTCTTGCTGTGTCTCCAGGGAAGGCTCGGAAACCTTCTCAGAAAGCCAGGGGACTTCCGAGCCCTCTGAGAAGGCCTTCTCCTTCTGATTTCCCCCCTCCGCTCGCCGCCAACACGAGGCGAGCGGAAGAGCAGAGGGCGGCCGCGGAGGAGGACAGAGGAAGACGCCCGAGCGTCGAGAGGTCGTCGGGGGCAGGGGCGCTCTCGTGCGGCCCCCTGGGCCCCGAAGGCCCGTGTGCAGTAAGACGGCCGAGCAGCGGGAGGACCTTGCCGCCGTCGGAGCGGCAGACAACGGAGTGACAGCACGCGCGTGGATGCTAACACACGTCCGGGAAGAAGAAAGAACGCACACACACAAACTTTGGCGGTCTGCGCGGACTTCTTGGATCGGCCGAGGCCCCTTCGCCGAGAGGATGCCCAGCCTCTAGGACTCCTGGATGGAGTCCGAGTAGATCGGGTCGCAGGGTCGCGACGTATCGCCGATGCATCGGCGATGCGGCTCGATGTGGAGCGCTATTGGGGAGGCCTGACGGCCGGTGCCGCCGACCCTGATCGAAGGGGCTAGGAGGGGGAGGAGGAAGCGAAGGAGGAGGAGGAGAAGGAAGATGAGGAGGACGAGGAGGAGGAGGACAGGGACGAGCACGAGGACGAGGAGGAGGAGGAGGTGAAGGAGGTGAGAAGGAGCAGGAGTAGGAGAAGAGGACGAGGAGGATGATGATGATGATGATGATGATGATGATGATGATGATGATGATGATGATGATGCTGATGATGATGCTGATGCTGATGCTGATGATGATGATGCTGATGATGCTGATGATGCTGATGATGATCATGATGATCATGATGATGATGTTGATGATGATGATGATGATGATGATGATGATGATGATGATGATGATGATGATGTGATGCTGATGATGATGATGATGATGATGATGATGATGATGATGATGATGATGATGATGATGATGATGATGATGATGACGATGACGATGATGATGAGTAGGAGGAAGAGAAGGAGGAGGGGGAGGAGCAGGAGGAGGAGGAGGATAAGGGGGAGGAGGACGAGGACGAGAACCTCCTCGCGACGCCCTCTGGGCTTTCTCGAAGGCTGCCGGGGGAGTCGGATCTGGGGGTGGGGCCCCCGGGTCCCCCCCGGGACCCCCCTGGGACCCTCCCAGGTCCGGCCCCCTCCTCCCGCATCAGGGAAGGGAAAAGGGAAGGGGCTTCCCTTCGAAGTATTGACGACGTTCAATCAATTGCTCGGCACGGTATGTGCAAGGAAGAAGACTCTGCTGACGGAGAGCGGGAGAACGGTGAGTGGAAGCTGGATGCGGCTAGAGAAGGTCGAGCAGGAAAGAAAGCACGACGCGAACGGAGAAGCCCCTCACACACGCCGACAGGGTCGGCGCATTTTCTCCACGCTGGCGTCGCTGATGCATCGCCGACGTCGACGATGCATCGCCAGTACATCGTCGATGCATCGCCGATGCATCGGCGATGTATCGGCGAGCTGGCGCGATCCTCCGACCCCATCTACTCGTACCCCATTTAGGAGGCCTCTACACACGCGGGTGCTAACACACTAGGGGACCACATGCGAAACCTACCCCTGCCCCCCACGATTCCTGAGGGGGAGGGTGGGGTTCACTTCGCTCGGGATCTCCCGAACGAGAAGTGGACCCCACCCTCCCCCTCAGAAGTCTAGGGGGTACGGGCAGGGCTCGCACGCGGTCCCCTTGGGGAGACCCAAAGGTACCGATACCGCTTCTCCCCGGACCTTTCCCGGGGTGCGTTCAAACCAGAATTTCGAGGCGAATCCAGCGGTGGCGACGAGGACAGCCCAGGAGGCCGAAAAAGGAGAAAACGAGGCAAGGGTAGAGATATGGGTACCTTTTCCTCTGACCCCTGCGCACGTCCTGAGATCGTAGAGAGGTGCTCGCAGCCTTCCCGAGCAGCCTGCCGGGCGTGAAGCGGCGGCTGCGGGGCTACCTGGAGGGCGCCCGGAGGCGCTCCGTGGCGGGGCCGGGCAGCTATGCGGAGGCCCGCGTCCTCTGCTCCCCCCGGATGGCCCGACGACGACGACGACGACGACGACGACAACGACGACGATGACGATCGACAACGACACTACGACGACGACGACGACGACGACGACGACGACGACGACGACAACGACGACGACGACGACGACGACGACGACAGGTAGAACGAGGAGGATGACGACGATGACGGCGACGACGACGAATGGGAGGGGGACGACGACGATAACGTGCACCACATCGCCTGTTGAGACAGCGGTCGTCGGCCTTGGGGGGAGCTCTCGTCGCCACGGCTTGACGCAGCTCGGACAGTTTCAGCCTTTGAGCCCCGGGAGGGGTCCAGGGCCCGGTTCTGAGGGCCTGGCCGTGTCATCTCGCCAGTACCCGTCGAGGGCGGTGCCAGAGAGGGTCACCACCTCGCCGTCGAAATCGGGGGCAAAGTCTGAGGGGTCGAGGATCGAGTAGGTTTGGGGCGTCGCCGGGAGGTCCAGGTGGTCAGTTTCCCGCATGCTGTTGCGGTCCCGTTGGTGTTGACCCCCCTGGATCGAGGATCGAGGGCCGAGTGCTGATTTTTCTGGACGTTCCGGGTCCTTTTCGAGGCATCCGGGAGGCTCCTCGTCGCCACGGCCAGAGACCTTCCGGCATTCTCGTCGACCCGCGCTAGGAAGGAAAGGCCGTTTGCAGGGCCGCGCGCGCGGCGGCGCGCGCACGGGCATCCAAGGCGCGTGTGCGCGCGCCGTGCCTGCGCGCACGCGCACGCGCGACGGAGCCCGCGCGCGCGCGAAGGCCTCGCACGCGCGACGAAGGCCGCGCCCGCTGCCGCGCGCGGACCGCGCGCATTCCGCCGCCCGCATTCCGCCTCCGCGCGCGCCGAGGCCGAGGACGAGCGCGCGCCCCCGGGGGCCCGCGCGGCGGCTGTCGCCCGCAGCTGCGGCACCGCCGCCGGAGGCCGGCGGCCTGCGCCGCCTTCGCCTCGCCCTCGCTCGGGGGTTGGCGGCGAGCGGCGGTGGCGGCGGCGACGGCGACGGCGACGGCGATGGCGACGACGACGCAGTGATCAGCTCCAGTCGGCGGCGAGCGGCGAGCGGGGGGGGGCGGGAAGTGAGAAGGAGAAGGCCTTCTCAGCAGGCGGCGCGGCTTCTCAGAAGCCCTGGCGCCTCTGAGAGGTGTTTCTGTGTCTTCGGGGACGGCTTGGGAATCTTCTCGGGAGGCCAGGGGACTTCCCAGCCTTCTGAGAAGACACTCCCCGTCTCACTTCCCTCCCCCCCCCGGGGTCGCCGCCGATCGAGTAGCGGGGCTGCTTCTGGACGGGGCCCGACGCCGTCGTCGTTCGAGGATCGAGGATCGAGGGTCGGGGATTGGGGATCGGGGATCGGAGATCGGGGATCGGTGACGGCTCTTCTGGGTCTCCACGGGCGTCCTAAGATTCCTGGCCGCAGCCACCGTCGTCGTTACTGCTGGCGTCTCCGTCGTCGGCGTCTCCGTCGTCGCCGGATGTCGTCGTCGCCGTCATGTTGCTCCTGCTCCTCTTCTTTAAATCGTCCTCGTCCTGCGGAGGGCTCGGCACAGACCTCGCGCAACGCCGATCCTCGTCTCTTTCTGCTTCCTCACCCCCCCGGACCTCGCCTGAGAGGTTCCTCCGGGTCAGACTTTCGATGACAACCCAGCCATGGCGACGAGAAGCTCCCAGGAGGCACACGAAGGACCATAGAAGCGCCACCCGGACTCCGATCCGCTTTTGAGGACAACCCAGCCATGGCGACGAGACGCTCCCAGGAGGCACAGGAAGGACCATAGCAGCGCCCCCCGGACTCCGATCCCCTTTCGAGGACAACCCAGCCATGGCGACGAGAAGCTCCCAGGAGGCACAGGAAGGACCATAGCAGCGCCCCCGGACTCCGTTCCGCTTTCGAGGACAACCCAGCCATGGCGACGAGAAGCACCCAGGAGGCACAGGCAGGACCGTAGCAGCACCCCCCGGACTCCGATCCGCTTTCGAGGACAACCCAGCCATGGCGACGAGACGCTCCCAGGAGGCACAGGAAGTACCATAGCAGCGCCCCCCCGGACTCCGATCCGCTTTTGAGGACAACCCAGCCATGGCGACGAGAAGCTCTCAGGAGGCACAGGAAGGACCATAGCAGCGCCCCCCGGACTCCGATCCGCTTTTGAGGACAACCCAGCCATGGCGACGAGAAGCTCCCAGGAAAGACCATAGCAGCGCCCCCCGGACTCCGAGCCTCGATCCTCTCGGGGTCGTTATAAGACGGAGGGGCTCGCCCTCCTCCTCCTCCCTCCTCCCTCCTCCCTCCTCCTCCTCCTCCTCCTCATCCTCCCTCCTCCCTCCTCCTCCCTCCTCCTCCCCCTCCTCCTTCTCATCCTCCTCCTCCTCTTCCTCCTCCCCCCCCCCTCCTCCTCGTCGTCGTCCTCCTCCTCCTCTTTCTCCTCCTCTTTTTCCTCCTCCTTCTCCTCCTCTTTGTTCCTCTTCGGCCAGGCAGCGGCGCCTCCGGCGTCGCCCCTGGCGCGCTCCGCGCGCCAGGGAGGGGGTCCAGCGCGGATCCACGGAATCCGCGCGGAGCGCCAAAAGTTCATGTTTATGGCGTTAACGTTCTTTTTCTATACAGTCCAGACGCTGAGGCAAGGAGCAGTCTGGGTTCGGACGGAGCTCGATGGTCCAGAGGTTCTTCAATGGCTGTTCCACTAGCTCTCCTGGTGCACGCAGGCATCTTTTGGGCCAGAAAGGGGCTGCGGGCTTTCTGTTGATCGTACCTATTTCAGCAGCCCGACTGTACAAAGGGTCCAAGTGCAACGGCGCCCCGATCCTCGAACCCGATCCCCCCCCAAAGGGGGACTCATGTCTGGCTCAAAGAACTAGTCCAGTTCCACTCCGATCCGCTTTCCTGTTTCCGACCTCCGAGTCGATGCGGCGATCGTCGGACGGGGCGAGGACAAAGATGAATCCGTGCCAGAGCATTCCAGAACGCTCTCAGAGCGTTCCCGAACGCTCTGAGAGGGCCGCGCCGCCCGAGACATCCTCAGAACCGCCAGATCTAAGAGATTCTCGATTTACCCTCACCCGATTTTATCCTCGTCCTGGCTTCGCCTTACGATTCGAGGCTGATTGCGGCCATCGCCTCTTCGGGCCCTGGGATGGAGGCCTCGAGGCTCGATGGAAGCCGAGGCTTCGCGGCTGCGAGGCTCGATGGGATCGAGGCTTCGAGGCTCGATGGGATCGAGGTTTCGGGGCCTCGAGGCTTCAAGGATCGAGGTCTCGAGGATCGATGGAAGTCGAGGCTTGGAGGCTTCGAGGCTCGATGGAAGTCGAGGCTTCGCGGCTGCGAGGCTCAGCGGGATCGAGGCTCCCTCCCTGGCCGTGCAGAGGCCGGGCGGGCGGCGCCCGCATCCGCGCCACGGGCCGGGGGCGCACGGCCTGAGAGAGCTCTGCGCGGCGCGCGGGGGGTGCGCGCGGCCTGCGCGCGGCCTTTGCGCCGGTGCGCTGCGCGGCGCCGCGCGCTCTCCTCTCGGCGAGAACAGAAGAGCGCCCTCACAATCCCCCTTCGAAATCGAGCGCGAGTTTTTGAGTGGTGGTCGACGGCTTGCGTGTTTGCAGTGCCGCCAGTGTGGGCACGGGCGCGGGGCGCCGCCACGTCGCGGGGGAAAAGCCTGCGATTGACTTCGAGGGGGGATGTAGCCCTAGCAGCACGGGGAAGACGTGGCTCAACTTAGGTCCTCGCTTTCGCATTAGGGATGATAAGTCTGGGCGATCTGCAGAAGAGAGACCCCCCACCCCTAATGTTTTGGGCCCTCCTGACCTGGGTCCCCTCCCAATGGGTTAGAGGGGTACTCGTATTGCCTATCGTCCTCCTGTGAAAGCGACGGCTCGGAGGACGAAGCGCCCCCAGAGGGTCAGGGGAGGAAAGGGTACCGATCTTCGGAGCAGTGGCGAAGCGTCCTGGCCTGCCTGCTAGGCCCGCCAAAGCCTGTTCTTCGAACCTTTCGTTGTCTGCACGAGATGTTCGTAGATTATGTCTGGCCGGGGCTGCCTTGTTTTAACACATCGAGTTTTAGTGAGTTTTAGTGAGTTTTGGTTTCGACCGTTTTGGTTCTGAGAATATTCGTGGTAGGCCTATGGGCTTATAGGAATGCCGGGACTGTCGGTCCCTGTTCAATCCTCCTGTGGAAGCGACGGCTCGGAGGACGAATCGCCTCCAGAGGGTCAGGAAAGGGTACCGATCTGTGTTGCGACCCTCGCCTCGTTGTCGCCTCGGTGGGCCTCCTGGGAGGCCCTCGTCGCCACTGCCGGATTCGCCTTGGAGTTCTGGTCAGAACGCACCCCGGGGGAGGTCTGGGGCGTAGCGGCATCGGTGGAGACGAAGCCGAGGAGGCGGTCCCGGCGAGGAGGCGCCCCCCCCGAAGAGGGTCCGAGGGTCCGAGGGAAGAAGCCGAATAGGCGGTCCGGGTCGGAGGGGTGGGGAGGGTCCCTGGCAGAGAGACGGCTCGAATCGAAGGCCCGTCGGTCGTTGACAGTAGGTATTTTTGGAATCCCAGATCCCAATATATTTCTAGCGCCTTCCTGTTTCAAGAGCCGATATGCCTTGCTGCTGTGCTCTGTGATTACCTGGGAGGGCTTGGGCCCGAACTAGTTCACCCGCCTTCCTGCTTCATGTTTTCACCTGCCTTTTCAGACCGACGTGTCGCACAACCAAAAATTACATCAACACAGTTTCCTCTGAGTTCTGCGCGGATATCTTGGATCGGCGTGGGGCTCCCGCGCGGCGCCCCCAAGGGGTCTTTCCGACTCCTCTGGCTCAAATCGAACCGATCTCCCCCGCTGCCGATTCGAACCGACTCGATCCAGAGATTCCGATCTGCGATTGCGATTCCGACTTCGCCCGATCCGACTTTTTTTTTGCCGATTCGTCACCAGCTTGGAACACATCCCTATCCCTGTGATTGGCATCGCCTCATCTCGATGCCGATCTTAGGAATTCCCTCCGTTTCTGAGGGCGCATCCCTAAGATTGTCGTCGACTTTTGGCTTGCTAATCTCAGGGATAGGGATACGCTCGAGGCTGGTTCATTCGGTGTGGCAGCAAGCTTCGGCCGATCTCCTGCCGATCCGGCCCCGCTCCGACGCCGCCCTCGCCGGGGAGGGTCCGCGGAGGGACTTTGGGGGGGGGGCCGCGCACGGGCGCCTTCCTCGTGGCCACGGCCGGGCCCGCCTCGGAACTCTTGCCCAAACGCACCCTGGGGCAGCCACGGTCTGCAGGGGGGGGACAGTGGGGGAGGGGACAGTGGGAGGGGGACAGCGGGAGGGGACAGTGGGGGAGGGGACAGTGGGGGAGGGGACAGTGGGGGAGGGGACAGTGGGAGGGGTGGGAGGGGGCAGCGGGAGGGGGCAGTGGGGAGGGGACAGTGGGAGGGGGCAGCGGGAGGGGGCGGGGACTGTTTGTTAATTCTGTGTTCGAGTATTTTTTCACATATATATATATATATATATACAAACAATGTTTCGTCCAACATCCGCCTGCAGGACACGCCCGACCTAATTGTAAGCCTTGTGTACGTCTCCACATAAGGTGGCCAATCCGCTGCTGTCGAGACGGGTAGCTTTGTCATCTGTGAGTGTTGTCATCGCCGCTTTGGAGAAACACGTGTGTGTGTGTGTGTGCGTGCGTGCGAGCGAGTGCGAGCGAGTGTGTGTGTGTGTGTGTGTGTGTGCTTGTGTGTGTGCTTGTACTTGTGTTTCTGTGCGTGTGTGTTTGTGCGAACAGGTGTTCAGGCGTGCGTGCGTGTGTGTGTGTGTGTGCGTATGTATGTCTGGAGTGGCATTAACACCAGAGCCGATCTTTTGATGATGGGACTTTGCTTGTCGCGATTTCACAGTGCATGTGCTCTGCACTCGTAGTTGGCGTGCGCGTTTGCACGAGGTGGCTTCGCCGGCTTGCCGGACCTGGCCAGGAGGACCGTGCGTCGGGGGGGAAATGAGCAGCCGGCGTCTGCATCGGCTCTGCTGCATTTGGCAGCCAGGCGCACGAGGATTCCTCGATTTTATGGCCACGGCTCCCGATCCGCCTCGCCCGCCCCAGATACGGCAGGTTCGTGTCGGGTCGACCGGCAGCGACAACGTTGAACGCCGCGTGCGACCCAGAATCGTTAGATGTGGAACGTTTTGGACGTTTTGGAAGCGGCCGACAGTTCAAGGTTGAACGATCCCCGCGGTGCCAGAAACCGACGCACAGTGGAGGCCCATGCCAAGAAACACCTTGCTTGCCTCCGGGGTGTCCTGGGTTTCTCGGGTCTCGCTGGTTTGGGGGTTCCAGGGTTGGGTTTCCTGGAACGTTCTTGGGCTCCATCAACATCGCTCTTAGGACGCTCTTGGGCTCTTCTTGACCGCTCTGCGGGCCGTCTGGGGGGGCCTCTTGGGCCTCTCTTGGGCCATCTTGAGGCCTCAAAAACGCATCGGAAGCGAAAAGGCGAACAAGCACCAATCTCACTGATTTTCCACAGGTGTCTAAAGGATCTGGGCCTCTTGGTGGGGTCCCCCGGGGACTCCGAGCGGACTTTGAACCGTCTTGTGGCCCTCGTCGGCCCTCTTGGACGATGTCGGAAGCCATCTTCAAACATCTTCTGGTATCTTGAGCCGCCTTGGAGGTCATCTTGGAGCATCGAAGGCCCTCTTGGGGCCATCTTGGACCCCCCAAAACAGCTTCAGTGAGGAGAGGGGCAGGGTACCCCCCCAAAGGAGCAACAAGTTATTGTTGGACCACCTTAGCCCAAAGGGCTGGTGGGATTACACTACTGGAGGATGGTTCGCTTTCAAAATGCGGTGTCCGCCTTGGCGCCGCGCACATTCATTTGAAAAGCTTCCAGCGGCAACAAGGATTGAGGGCGTTTTATTTTCAAATCCATGATCATTCCTCAAACTATACAGACCCGAAACTCAGTACTGTGCAACTGTTGCGCTCATGGACGGAGGGCGTCTCCTTTTCAGACTGGAGGTTCTCGCTTGAGTCTTGCGCAGTTTCCTAGACTAGAGCTTTCAGTTGTGTAACGATTTCACGGATGGAGGGCAGATCTGTTTCATTGTATCATAATGCTTCTTTGCGTTGCTCCTAGCACCTAGGATGATCGAGGGTGTATCCTTCCTAAAACAACGTTTCCAGAGTGCGAAGGAATATGATACCATAGAAACAACAATCAGGTTTTTGTTGGGGCTATGGGGCTATGGGACTACAGGGCTATAGGGCTACGGGGCTATAGGGCTATATGGCTATGGGGGTATAGTGCTATAGGGCTATGGGGCTATAGGGGCTATAGGACTATAGGGCTATAGGGCTATTGGGCTAGTGGGCTATAGGCCATATGGGCTATATGTGCTATTGGGCTGTTGGGCGATTGGGCTATAGAGCTATAAGGCTATAGGCCTACATGGCTATAAAGTACCCGGGCACCCCTGGGCACCCCCGAGCACCCCCGAGCACCCGGGCACCCGGGCACCCACGGGCACCCGGGCACCCGGCCACCGGCCACCGAAATCCTGGGGCACCGGGCACCCACGGGCACCCTTGGGCACCCGGCCACCGGCCACCAAATCGGCGCCCCACCTCACCTAACCATATGAATCCGCTAGGACCCCTACAGAGGCAAGCTCTGATTGGGGGACATGTTGGCACTCCCGAGGAGGGGATCTGGGGCCGCAGGCTGCGTTGCTTCATCCTCATTCTCCTGCTCATCCTCCTTCGTCAGAGTGGTCACGGATCGGAACCCCACGGTCATGCTCATGTTCATGCTGCTCATTTTCCTCCTCCTCCTTGATCTCCGCCCCTGGGAAGATCTTGGAGCTGGTCTCGTGTCGCACGGTAGAAGATGAGCCGGCCTTTTCGGGGATCCGTATCTTCTGGGGCGTCCTGGCCCCAAATTTGCTGGGTCCCTTCGTGCGGACTCGTGCGCGGGCTCTTGTCTTGCCTTCTCTCGGACGGGGCTAGGATGAGGATACATCTGTTCCAGGGCGTTCTGGAACGCTCTGAGAAGGCCGCCGCGCCCGAGACCTCCAAAGCCGCCAGATCTCAGAGGTACTCGATTCGTCCTCACCCGAATTTCTCTTCGTCCTGGCGTCGTCTTGTTCTCTCCCTGGGAGGACGGGGTGGAGTATGCGGCCAGCGACCGCTGCCCAGGATCAGATCTTGTTCTGGAGAGGGCGAAGGATGTGGAGGAGAAGGAGGAGCCGGAGGATCAGGAGGAGGAGGAGGACGGTGAGGATGAGCAGGAGGAGGAGGAGGAGGAGGAGGAGGAGGAGGAGGAGGAGGACGGTGAGGATGAGCAGGATGAGCAGGAGGAGGAGGTGGAGGAGGAGGAGGAGGATCGGAAGCCGGGCAACGGCTGCTAAATCCGTGGCTGCCAAAAGCGACCTCCGGG